GTCATCTAATTTGAAGATACTCCAAAATGGGTTCTCCCTCCTCCTTGAAGATTCGTCATCATCGAGGCTCCTTCTCCCTCAGCCAGGGAGGGAAAACTGAATGTCTAGATTCTCCCCAAAACACAAGCTACACTTAGAAATATATATATTTGTTTCTCCTAGATGGCGTTTCTCTCTTCTAACATCTGTAAAGTTCAATGGTCCACCTCAACACTGAGGTCCTGCTACCTATCAAGGTAAATGAAAATAGCCGAGTGTGCTTGTTTATAAGAAAAACATCTTTTGGGGATGTCTGCCTAAAATATTGACCAGCTGCTGCACAAAAAAGTAAATCGAGCCCCACAGCAAGGTGGACACACTGGTTATGTCGCACAAGCTGAGGAGCAGAACGCCTTTTTGGTGAAAAAGCAGAGCAGGGAAGAAGCTGGTTTTGCCACTCCATGTGCGTGGAAACACCTACAACAGGTCTCACCATCCTCCTCCTACAGAGAGGGTCAAAAACAACAGCAAAAAAAAGAAAAAAAACCACTTTGGATGTCCATCCATCCATCAAATATGCCCATCCATAAAAACACTTTATGGATGTCCATCAAATCTGTCCCATTTGATGGAGGACTTTTCTTCTTCTCCGTGTCCCATATATGGAAGGGTGGCACAGTAACTACTGATTTGGTGCAGGAAATAAGACAAATCCAAGCCAGCTTGCCCCAAAGTCTTGTGGTTTTAGCAAAGGGTTCTCATTCCAGCTGCACTGTAAGAGCCAATCCCTTTGGAAAACAGGCTGCAGAAGGCCAGCTGAGTCCTTTTCCCGGGAAATCTCCTGGGGATGAGGCATTGCTAAAGATGCTAAATCTGTCTCTTCAAACGCATATGCTCCAAGCTGGTGTCTCATTTATTCTTCCCCAAAGGGTCAGCAAGGTCCTAAAACATCTCACGTGCAAAAGAGAAGTGCTGCCTATAGAGGACATCAACTCCATTGGCAATTGCCATTGCTGTCTCCATACACCACCCACTACCTGGCAAGCTGGGAATAGCTAAGCAGCTCTTTTGGAAAAGAGGTATCGCTGCCTGCATCTTGTGGTCCACCTCACCTCAGAGGATGCTGGAGAAGACCCTCTGAGCAGAGCCCAACTGCAACCCGAGGAGCTCTATCAGTCTTCACTCCTAGGGCAGACTTGCCGGGATAAAATTATTACTACAAGGATCAGGTCATTTAGTTAACACCACAGGAGATGTAAGGCCATCAAATTCCCTGCCTGGAGTTCCTAGCACCCAGTTTTGCCCTATATTATACGCAGGCACCTAAGTGTGTATCTCCATGGGTTTTCCGCTCCCACTGTTTATGAGAGACTATGAGTTATTTAAGTCCTTACTGAAAAGCTGCAACAAATGGTAAGACTATTTCTGGAGTGCATCTTTACAACCCAAAGGAAATCCAAAGTACAGCCAAGCTTTGCAGTCTCATGCCACTGGATTTACTCAACAACGAGACTACGAATTGGCTTCTCAAAACCGGTCTGCTTGGCTGCAGGAGGAACCTACTGCCAGGACCAAGTTGTCCCAACTTCCACATTTGTGGCCTCGGTTTTCCCTCTGAGACCTCTGTAGGCCACAGGTTGAAAACCAGCGAGCTAAACTGAAATGATGGTTGACCAGCACTACCCAACCACACGTGGTCCCTCACCAATTTAATGTTTCCTCTTTTGATGAAATTCACTTTGAACCCAAACACAAATCAAAGCTATCACTTTCAGTTTCCTTTCTGTAGGCGAAGAGACACTTCTGGCATGCTGCCCACTGAATTGTTAGTTTTCTAAATCGCTGCCCAATTTCAACCTAATTTGACCAAGGCAGAGACCTCCAGTTCACATAAGTGCTGTGCAGGTCAGCGGGCTGGGTGCAGAGGACTCCCATGAGGGTCCTCCCATGGCTAGTGAGGCTGAGATGAGCTCAGCTCCCACCACCTTGAGAGCTCTCGGTCTGTGAGCACTCTGGTAGCACCAAAGCAGCAAAGCCAGGAGGAGTGTGGCTGGGTGCTGTCCTTGTGTGTCCTGGGGGCCAGGGAAGGAGAAGGGAGATGTTTTGGGGGGTATTTGAGCAGAGGGAGGGGATTGGGGTAGGTATTGGGGTAGCAGAGAGCGTTGCACACCCAGGGCACCAACCTCTGAAAATCTACTACTGCTCTGCTACTCAAGGAGCGTGCTTGCTCTGAGCCTGACGTGACCTCTCCTTCCTGAGCAAGAATTTTTTCCTGAGATCTGATGGAGGGAGATACAAGTGCCCACCATGGAGCTGCCTGGCAGAGCCTTGCTGGCTCCCACACTCACCAGCTGGATGGCGATCATTAACACCGTCTTCAAAGTGAACGTCCTATCGCAGAGGTCAAACAAATCTTCCAAGCTCGGACCAAGCAGTTCTAGTACCATGGCGTTGTACTTTCCACACGGTCCAAAGTAATACACTTGGGGAAGGCCTTCAGCTGGAAGGACACAAAAATAAGATTGAAATCAGTCAGCAGAATAACACCAATACCCTTCCTCCCGGGCGTGCATCTCGCGCCGCGCAGTGCCTCCATTTCTACCTCCCAAGTGTCCTTTCTGTTTGATGTCATGCAGCCACCAAAGAAGTTTCAACAAATCTTGCGAACAAGCCGTAAGCCAAATCATGAAAACGACTCTGTCACTAACAGCATAAACACTGGGACTTTGTGTGGCAAGACGTGGAGCTCCACGTCTGCACGAAACACGAGGCTACCCCAGACACGGGCTGTCCCTCACCGGAGCAGCCAGGAAGACATTGGCCCTCCAGTAGATGATGTATGTCCAAGAAAGGGCTGCTGCTTCCACCAAGACCAATCAGATGAGCCAACACGGGGCTGGACTCAGCGCGAGGCCAACTGCAAATACTTCTCATTGGTGTCAGGCACCCAGCATCCTGGAACCACCAGCTAGCTGGGGGACAGACTTTGCTTTACAATGCACTTCCACTCGAGGTCTCGTAAGCAAAACTAGATGGAAGGATTTTCATTTTGAAATATATAGGGTTTTGGCCGGTGTCAGATTGCCACCTTCACTTGGAAAGCACAAGGGTACAATGTCCCACCACTCAATTTAATGATGACTACAGGGAGCTCTGTCATGGGCACAACCTGTTTTCACAGGATCGAGTCAAACAGAGGTCCATAAATTACATAGTACAGGGCCCGAAAGGCAAGTGATTATACACATCATGTTGTGTTTTAAGTAAATGCATGCAAACACATATATTTACATAAAAGAGCAATATTAAAGAGAGCAAAAAAAGTTGCAAGCTACTAAACCCTAGCATTAAGTCCCTTGTGGCACTAAGTTTTTGCACCTATATCGTGACATGCTCATGCAGCCTGGGCCGACACGGCAAAGGCTGCAAAACCAGAACCACCAAGGCCTAGAGCATGTCAGAAACGTCACGGCTTTAAGTCCTACTTTAGCTTCAGGAAAGCTGCTTAATCTGCCTGCCGGCACTCAGCAACTTGCCAACGATGCCATAAATGCCGCTCAGAGATTACTAAAGCTTAAGAGTTACAGGAGGAATATTCGTATAAATTACTCAAAAAGACCAAAATGCAGCTTGACAAAGATTATCCTAGGATACGTTTAATCTTGTTAAATCACAAGCTCAGGGAATCACAGTAAGCATCAGTCGCCCGGATGCACTAATGAGGTATTACCGAGGACCACAGGAATTCCCAGGCTAACGCCCCAAAAAAGGTACCCACAAGGGCAGAGCCCAAAACAGAGAGGTTTATTAAAACATTTCCTGGTAGCAAGTTCATCATCTCTATTAAATAGATACTCATGGAATGATGTATGAAAAGTTTAAAAATGAGATCATTGTAAAATCAAGATATATATAATTCTTATCATGATTCCTATAGTAGGATAACAGGCTTGGGAAGTGCAAATTGGGAAGGAATCCACTCGAATCACAAGCACAAGTGTGAGGTGCTGTGGTCAATGAAGACATCTTGCCACCGGTGGAAAAATCAAGGGAGGTACCTGTGGAGACCCCACCAGCTCCCGACTGGTTGACGAGATGAAGTTAGGAGGGACCCAAGGAAAACACATCCTTGTGCACTTAAACATGAGGCACCATCGAGTCTCTCTTTAGGAAGCATTGCAGCTTCCGAAAGGGTCCTTGACAGCTCCCACTGAATCCAACTCTTGGTGAACGTCACAGACTTCACAAACATCATGAGTGCACCCATAAACACCCAGAAGAACATCTCCAGCAAAAAACATTGTTTGAGGAGGCTTCCTTTGTCTAGACAGTCAAACGTGAGGTTTTTAATACAAAACATTTGTGTTGGCAGATATTGATAAGGTGAAATGAAGCCACTGTCCTGTGAAACACTGAAACATCTTTTTTTTTTTCTTAGATGAGCAGTTCTGGATTCAAAGTGCAGAGGATGAAAAGCCATGGGCAGAGCAGAGTCTCCTCTTGGGGATGTAAAAGCACAACTCAATGCTTTAAGCACAAACCACGAGCAGTTTAACATGATTAATGAGTGGAATAACATCTGAACAAGGAATCTCTCTGTGATTTGAAATGTAAGGCCAAAATATTAAGGAGGGAAAGGAAATGTGTGACACGGGCAGATTCTCTCTTGGAGAAAAAGTAGCCTGTGGGAGTAGGAGCTTCTGCAAGCAAGTGGTTTGGCTTAACCGTGTCTAAGAACCCCTGCTCCACCCTTACATTGGCGAAAAGTTTATCAATCCAATAAACACACACTGATCACCGTTCTGGAATCCACAGGCAAATCCTGCTATTTCAGCAGTCTAAGGTCTTGGAAAATAATCAAGCTGAGCCCAGCAAAAACCCAGCAGAGCCTTTGAGAGATTAAAGCGCTGTGGCTGGAGCGAGTGCAGCTCCAGACGTCAAAGCCCCAAACCCAGACTCTGCTGCGGCTGCACTCCCATTCCGCCACGCAGGTGGCCCAAGATGCTGAGGACCCAACGCTCCTGCAGGTTGCCACCAAAAGGGACCATCCCATCCTCACCCCTTACACTGCTGCCCCAGACTCTCGTGACCCAGCGCTAAGATGGATCGGGCAACAAACCTGGAAAAGCTCCAGCCAGCCCAAAGAGGAAGGGAAGAGTAGCTAAGAGAAGGGCCACCCTCTCGGAGAGACCTTCATGTCAACCGTATTAACGCCACGAACACCCTCCAGCAAACTTCCCCTGCAACATGAAGCATCCTGGAAGCTTCAGGATGGGCTGCCTCGCTGCCAGGTCCTTTTGTGGCTTAAGCAACAGCTCTAATAGCTTGTCTGGCATCCAGCACGCTCCAGCAGGCCCTGCTGGTCCAGACAGCAGATGTCCAGATCACACGGGCAGTCCCGCACCAGGCCCGGCCGCGAAACGCGAATGGCAGGGGAGACGCCAGTCGAGGGCTCTGCACTCCAGGGAAATCTTCGATTTTGCGACATCTGCCCCACACCGCAAGGCACCGCAAGCGGAAACCATCTGCTGCAGCAGAGGGGATGCGCCGATGCTGTCAGAAACTGTGAATAAACCAGGTGTCACAGTGAGCAGCCCAAAACACACCCAAAAGGGACGAGGTGGCAAAGGCAGGAAGCTCTACACGTGGCACAAACGCTGAACCTCCATACATCAAATCCACGGGAGACAGTCAGGTTTTGTCCAAAGAGGAATGATACTACCAGCTTTTCCTCCTGTGCGACACTGTTTTACCCTGCCCTTAGATGTGGCATTGCCAAATAGCAAGGAGCTGCTGTCTTCGACTTTAAGAAGAAATACAGCTTGTTTTACTCAGATTTCACGTCTCGATGCACGCTTCGAAGCTGAGAACTCAACTGTTGCAGGCAGAGATGCTCCTAAGATGTCCCAAATGCGATATCTGAAGGTGAAGGAAGGAGGAAGCTCTGCACCATCAAGCAGACGGCTGATGCTCGACGTGGGAACGCGCTCTCCGAGCGCGCCGAGGAGCATCCTTCGTGCAAACGCATCGCGCGAGGGCCCCCCAGCCCCCTGCTGCATCAGCACAGAGAAATTCATCGAGATTTAGAGGCAGTGCTGATGAATAGCATCTAGATTGCCACAAAACCCCTCCTTTTGAGCAGAAAGATTTATTTTTCACAAGTCCCAGAACAGAAAATTACATGATAAGCAGCATAAATAGCAGCGGCGTAAGTGCTGAATATTTATAGCTAAAATTAAACATGTTTCAAACAAATTAAATAAATTGCTTTAGAGCAGTCAACCCATTTAAGCTGATTACACTAATGAGGATCTACCCTTCCCTTAATTTTCAAATCAGAACAAAATCCTGGCTGAAACAGAAGCGTTGCCATTGACATCAACTGGGTCGAGATCTCATCTTTCAGCCTCTTCAAACGCCCTGAGATACCAGGTTTTAGATCTGGGCCAATACAGCGGTTAAGGGGGTGCATCTACGAGCCATGTTTTGGCTGAAATTACCAAGGTTCATTCTGACCTTCCAGTCTATGAAGAGACTACTACAAAAATAGCACAAGGGGAGAAAAAGGAAGATAGTTTTATTATTTTTAATGAAGTTTTCCTAGTTCTTCGCTAGGTTCCCCCATAACCACCTTTTCCCAATATGGTTATTTAGTAAAACCATCTCCACATTTTTTGTAGCTCACTCTTTAAGTTCAAACGATTAAAAGTAAATGTGTAACCATGCCAAGAGCAGGCACCCTTGTAACCTGACCCACCGCAATGGAGAATAATTAACGGTGAGGAGGGAAAGGGACTCACGACCTGGAGTCTAGGAGAAGGAAGTCAGCACACTGTTCCCAAACAGGGCTTCTGCACCTACCCTTATCATATATAGCTTCAGCTTCAGGGGTTGTGGTGGATGAAGCTTTGGGTCTTCACCAAAGAAAAGGTTGGGGTAGCCTAGGTTTAGCCTAGACGTGTTGTAAGAGTCTCCCAAAATACAGGATGTCGCCCAGTGACTTCTCTTAGAGACAAATTTAATACATCTCCTAAGGCTGTTGTGCCATCAGTTGCTTAACGGGGTTTCTTTGCAGGAAGGTTACCGAGTTTTAACAGGTTATCATCATCATTATATTAGGTTTTACTTGCTCCTGCATCGTCGCTGCATCCTGCATCGTCGTTTAAAAACATCCTTCACTCCCTTTAGCTATGACCTTAAGCAGAGGAGTTTGGGCAGGAGAAAGATGCTGGATGGTCTAGAGCATCTTCTCACAAGTCTCATCTCATTTGCTTTAGGAAAATATGTAGCAGCTGAGGGGCAAAGGAAAAAAGAAAAAACAGCAGAAAGTGCAGTTTGTGACTCTGGCCCCAACTCAGGTGCAGATATGTTGCAGGGGAGAAGAAGAGAAGAGACATCTCAAACAGAAGTGACAACTTGGAGGTTACCAACCCGTCGGCAATCGCCACCATCTGCAGCCTGCCCTGTTACTGCAAAGCTCCCGGGTACTTTCCTTGCTCT